AGGAGAGTGGGGATGACCTCTAGGGGTTCATAACCTTTATACCATTAAATTTACATAACATAATAACACAAGTAACAAAATTATGTATAGTCAAATGAAAAAAGTTTCCTACGATTTAGGAGTCACATAATCATTTGTCAATAAAAATGACTTTGGATGCCAGTGTCCCTCCACCCTAGAAAACAGACCCAACCATAACTTCTTTTTTTTTTTTTTTGCTTCTCAGGAAATTCTGGTCTGGACCCCCCCCCCCCCCCCCACCTCCCTCCCAGAAAAAAAATTCCGGATCTTGTAACTGAATGTAACGTTGATAACGGGGGATAACTCTTCAGAATGTGAAATTCGTCTATTGTAGCATCGGATGACCTTTGATCCTTTAAACTTGAACCTAACCGTTTGCATTTCAGACTATTTTACCCAAATCTATACCAAAACTTGTACTTACCGATTGTCATTATTTAGGCCTTGTCATCTTCATGAAATATAATCCAGTTAAAACACAAAATGAAATAATTCCTACTGACATATATGCAATGATGCACATTAGTAGCCTACTGCACGTGCAGTGAAATCTAAAATGATAATGCCAATGGTAAAACTAGTACTTAAGTTGGGTACGTGACGCAAGCCCAATGTGATGCAGGTGTTCAGATACATGTATAGTGCAAGAACAAATTGAAAATTATCATTTACAAAAGATGTTTTATTTTAACTTTGCCATCTAGGCCTATTTCCAAAAACAGGCAAATAAGGTGTGTTTGTGTGTGTGTGTTGATGGGAGAGGGTGCGGGTTGACTAAATTGATTGTGTATATGGCAGCTTTCAAGAAGTTTCTGCCTAATCAAATATAAATAAACTTTGCACATTTTGAAAAAATTTATCAAAAACGCTTTACACTAATTTGAATAATATTATTTTTTGTTAATCTATATTAGAAAATAGATTTAAAAAGTTCCAATTACGTACAAGTAGAATTTTTAGCGAGGATTTAATTTTGGCATTATTAGCGAGGGTGCTGACATCGCTAAAATTGAATAACGCTGAAAATTAATTGCTTATTATTTGTAAAAGCTTCTTGAATTAGCATTTTAAAATCGCTAAAATTACTTCTCGCTAAAAATAAAATACCAGATTTTAGGTAGAAATCGCTAAATGTGCGTTTCGCTAAAATTTCCACTTATACAGTATGTGCCAAAAATTTATACACCCCCCCCCCCTTTATCAAACCTAATTTACATTATTAATTTAATTCTGTTGTTTTATGGTAATCAATTATGAATATGAAATACCAATAAGATGGAGTCCCATGGGTCACATGGTCACTAGCTGCAAATCTGTAGCGTTATGGTTTTATATATCAGTCTTTGACCATAAAAACTGCCCAAAAGTGCGCAAAAAATATTGCGCCGTAAATTGCCCCTTTTTTTGCATATGGGGATCTGTAGCGTTATGGTCAAAGACAAATATATAAAACCATAACGCTACAGATCTGCAGCTACATTCAAGTCACCTGAGCATATTATGCTCAATTTGTCAATTGATGAATACATGTATTATGTAAATTATTGAATTATATTGACTTTTGCCTTGGTAAAGCCCAGTATGAAGAAGCGTGCATTTAGAGGCAAACACCTTAGTGCGGGTATTACTGTCTCATGACAGCATCTAGTTCATGTTATTATTGCCGGGATTCCCGTTACATATAAACCAGGTCTAATCTGTACAAAATGATTTAAAAAAAAAAAGATCTACTTTTTCTTATAGGTTATAGGAGATGACTGACCTTCAGATTACCAATGCCTTTGTGCGTTTCGTTGTAATTGCAAGAATTTTCTTTTGTTACAACTGGACCTCATGGCAACCCAGGTATGACATCGTGGGTCAGAAATACTTTCTTTCAAAGAACAGTGAGTCATAATACTGACCAAAGGTGAAATGTTTATCGACTCTTCTAACTTGTTCACTGTTACCCAATGTGAATTTCCTTGAGTTCTGGTGCAATTAAAAGATAAACATATCTGCGACTCACTGTTCATACACTGAACACTAGATCTAAAGTTTGTGTTTGTCACAATTTCGTAAGCAACAATCAGATTCGTTTGGCACGTTGTTGCATCATTGCTCTTGCTCGTGACTGACGTCAACGGACCAAGTTTTGAACGGTTCTAAAGTTCAAACACTTCCAATCATTTTGACTCCAAACACAGCAGTCACTATAATTTTTCTACGTTAAGACACTTCTTTTTTATTCACGTCACAGTTTTTCCATGAATGTCTTCTGCAGGATCCAACGGGTGGTTTCATATTGTGCTATGGTCTAGACATTTCCTTTTCAATGAAACCGCAATGAAGTAAAAATCCTTAAACAAGCGTTTACAGTAAATAAATCTCACGGTAAAAGATCTTAGAGTTTTCATAAATAGATAAACATGACTACATTTTTGAATTATAAAAAAAGAAAATGGCTAAAAGCTTTTGTACAAAATATATCAATATATCTAAATTAAATTAGACGTCGTCTGTGTGCATATAATCAAAAACATAAACGAAATTTTGCTTAAAATTCAAACATGCAATACTAGGAAGTATCCATCTAACATTAACTATAATATTTCATTTTAATGACACATTACAGGGATCAGTTTAACCTTGTCAGGGAACATGATATATATCATATTACATTTTAATGAAAAAGATTTCACTGAGCTTTTAACCCCTTTACTGGAAGAATATATAAATAGATAAGCATAATTTGCAACTTCGTTTTGAAGATCAAACCGGTAAGATTGTAATCTACATTGATTAATTTTTTAATACAAGGGTTGTTTGTTAATATTGTGAACAAGTTGTCTAGTTTGAAAAAACATCACCATTGCATTCTTAAATGTTCACTTCTGTTTAGTATATATTTCTCAAAATATACCTAGCAAATATACATCAAAAACATGAATGCATAAGTAAAAAAATAATGAAATGTGCAGGGATGTCAAAGTTTCTTAGCAGCGTAACGTATTCTTTTTGTCCCAAAAAAGTTGGATAACTCGCACATAAAATTTTGAAATTATTAAAGCACATGTTTGAGTTTGAATAAACATTTGCTGAATATTTCAGCATAGTGCGCCTACTATTTTCGGAGGAAAACGTGCATATGTCTTTAGCATTTAAATGATTGAAATCAATATCAATATGGTTTTTGTAAAATGAAGCATTTTTAGACGACTTACGGTTTGACTAGAAGTGATCCTAATCGTCAGTAATTTAGGTCGGAAATCCTCTGTAAGATAAATAATTTGATCTAATGTTTTCATATTTGAAAAACTAAGACATTCACATGTAATGTTTTTTACCAGTTTAACCGGAAAGTTGTTGAAATTGACAAAAGACAACTGAAAATACGGTTGGACGTCCTCTGAGACAATTCAATGCAAAATCTGTAAAAATAAGCAATTTTATACTACTTCCTGTTTGCCCGGAAGTCACATCACCTGACGTACTTTGACGATCCTACTAGATGTTACTTCACATTTTGAACTACTTTGATTCTTTTGTGTATTACAACTTCTCATTACGTTGCAAGATATCAGGAAAAAAACTTTTGATTCAACTACATCCATCATTTTAGGGGCCCAGCCCATTTTTAGAGATATCATTTGAAAGATCTATAGATTCTATACTTCTTTTAATCTATGCGTTTTAAAAAATCTTTCTACGCAAAAAATATAATTAAAATACTCAGGTTTCTATCCTAAGCCGTGTTTGAGAGAACTCGCAGACAAACTAACCCACTTAAATTCACTATTATGCAAAGAATTCGGAACTGCATGTAGAAGCGACGTCATCGAACCCCAAAAATATACATCTAGGTTTTTTAGCTTACCTGAGCCGAAGGATCAAGTGAGCCATTCTGATCACATATTGTCTGTAGTCCGTTTGTTCGTCTGACCGTCTGTCTGTCTGTAAACTTTTCACATTTTCGACTTCTTCTCAAGAACCGCTGGGCCAATTTCAACCAAACTTGCCACAAATCATTCTTAGGTAAAGGGGATTCAAGTGTGTTCAAATGAAGGGCCACGCAGTCATTCAAGGGGAGATAATTGGGAATTAATAAAAATTTGGTGGCATATTTTAAAAATCTTCTTCTAAAGAACCACTGTGCCATTAAAGCTGAAACTTATATGGAATCATCCTGAGGTAGTGTAGATATTAAATTCTTAATATCATGACCCCCGGGGATAGGGAGGGGCCACAATGCCTGACCAAAATTTTACATAGAAATATATAGGAAAATTCTTTAAAATTCTTCTTCTCAAGATCCACTATGCCAGAAAATGTGAAACTTATACGGAAGTATCTTCAGGTAGTGTAAATTTAAATTTGTTCAAATCATGACCCCTTTTATTAGGTACCAATCCCTTTTTGATTATATCGATGAATGATATTGAAATCTTCAACAAGTTTCGTTCAATATGTCTTTAAAATTATTTACATGAAAAGAGATGTGAAAGAAAGGCGATGAATCTTTTTGGAATTTTCAATATATTTTTTTTTTTCGGACTAAAGCTAGTGCTGACATGCGGAATTTCCGGTAAAATGAAATGCGTTACGCATATCTACAGACATAGGTTTATCATATGTAAAAGTTTCACGTTTCTATCTAGAGTCATTCATGCGAAAATCTCCTTACAACCCGACACTTTAAAAAAATAGAATCGGCAATATCTCAGACCGAAAGTGACATCATGAAAACACATTAGGTACAAGTTATACAAATCCATCAAGCAGTTTTCGAGAAATCGCGTGCACAAAATCGGGAAGGAAAAAAAATAGTAAAAGTAAATGAAATCTAAGAATAACAGAAAGGTCTTCCGCTGAAGACAAGGAACCTTTTTAGAATAATAATAGTGTTTGTTGTTTTCGTTTATTGTGATATTAATAATTATAAAAATTGTAGTAAATGTCTTTTTTCATATTGATGTAAATAATTTTTTCTTTCGTTTCAGATAATAAAACACCTAAAATCATGAATATGCTGTACACTTTTGTTTTGTTTCTTGGAATATTGATTCAACCAATCAACTCTAAGATTCTTGATCCAAAGGAGCTTATTCAGAGTATTTCGTCCTATAAGGAAGCATGCTCAGCTGTTGGATACGAGAGAAAATTATGCTCATATCGTACGCCATCATTTTGCTACATATATAAATTTCAATTGAGGAATCGCAACGTATTTATTGTTTCAGCAAGAGGGTCTCATGGACTTAACAGTAGAAAACCCATCTGTTGATACCTTTTGGTACATTCCAACAACATTACTGTTTCATATCAAGCACCAGTTGATCATTTTGTAATGGTAATGTACCAAAAATACCATGAGGATAATGTGAGATAACGAACTGATATTAAGCTTAAAAGTATACTGGAAATATATAGATATGCAGGAGATAAAATTCGGACCTCTTAAAAAGGTGATGGGATCTGTTTGCAATGGATGGATAGATGAAAATATACTAGTTAAAATTCTAAGTCCCCAGGCAAGTTTTTGCTTTACACCGCTCTTATATTGAATTATTTTAACTTAATAATTTAATAAGTATACAGGATAATAAAGTAACAAAAACAATTTTTCTAACTTCATTTCTTTTATTGAAGCGTTTTAACACAGTATGCAGAAACGTTAAGCCACCCTAGAATTAAAAATTCACAACGTTAAATACTGCATTATTATCCATTCAAACGAATTCACAGCAAAGTAACTGTTTCTCAAGGAGTTTCACTATTTAAGAAAACATCTTTTATTGAATGTTTTTTCAATGTAGAAACTAGATCGTCCTCTAGTTTCGCTAGATTCTGCTGCTGGAAAAGCTGTCTCACACCCCGGTCTATCTTCCTCCATACATGCTTATTAGGGTTGAGATTAGGATGACAAGGGGGCTAATCGAAATTGTCTGTGCCTTGTCTACAATAGTTACATAACGTCTTCTTACATGTATTGCCCACTCCTCCAGTTTGACATTGAGGGAAGGGCACTTCCAATTCCGGTTCCATTGATTTTTCCGGATAAACCCTGGGATGATTTTGTGGTGTTTGTTGAAATTCTAGCGATTTCTAATGATTAAAAGGAATTTAGGCATGTTTTGTAGGTTTTTAAGGCGATAATTATAAAAGTTTTAAGTAAAATAAATCCATACATTGAAAAGAAACATCACTATCGTTAATTACGACCAACTTGACCCATTTTAACTTCACTTTTACATTGTTGTGTGGACATAGACCGCATTTTATTCAAGCTCTTTTCTGTTTTTCGTTATCAATTAGAGATGGATAACATATGGAAGTAAAAACCATGAAAAATACACCCGAAAAACATATGGAACCCGAACTTGATGCTTTTTAACAAAAATGGTCACGGTCGAGTAATTACACGTTCGATTACAATGTTTTTTGGCCTTGACAAGTAAGTATTGCAAATTAAAGGCAAATCTGTAAGCAACTATTAAATTGAAGTTAAGGTTTTTAACTTTTTGAAAAAATAAAAGTGGGGACTTAGAAGTTTTGACAATTATATCCCCCTTTGACTGAATATCTTGCCCTTGTACTCTTTGTCATGATTCGTAAAAAAAAGTATGTTGAAAATTCAGTTTAAAAGTAATAGATGAATAATTTTTATGCAAAAATCAGTCAACTTTTGAATTGGCGAAAATTAATATGTACTAGCATATACAGGTCATAGAATTAGAAAAATAAGAGACACTTGATGTCGGTGTATAATCAAATATTTGCAATTTTATGTATGTAAAAAGAAAATATTTGTGTCAATTTGGTAATATCATCTTATAGACCCTATATGGTAATGTCTTTTTATGCAAAACAAAAACCATTTAATCTTTTGAAATAGAAGACTCTATATCATGATTGGATGCTGTTATTTTTATTCTTAATGACAGAGGAAAAATTTTATCACCTTGACCTGACATTGACTCTAATATAAAACAGTAAAAACTAATCTAACTCATACCATCACTTAGTTATATTGACTTCTTTGTTCTGTGAAAATTTCATTAATTTTTAATTACAAGAAATACAGTTTTGTGTGAGAAGAATCCTACCTTACGAAAAATTCTTTTTATTTGATCACCACTTTTCCACAGAATATGTCTTTTAGAAAACCCATAATTTGCAAAATTCAAATTCACAGATCCATTTCTCTTTACTGATTTCCTGGAATTCAAATATGACTTCCCATTACCAAATATCCAATCTGAGATATGAAATATTTCAATGTGACAAAGTTTAGTGCAAATGTGATGAGAACATTTCCTTTTCCTTGCAAATTGAATAAGAGACTTCAAATATATATTAAAAAAATATGTAAGATCTTTGACCATGACTACGCTTACGTCTCTGTGATATGATGGCAGAAACTTGTCTAAGTACATTTAAATGCAGTCCAATATTTGAATCTTTTATCTGTTGATACAATACAAAAATGCAATAAAAAGAATATATTTCAATCGTTTGTACACGTTATCTTAAGCCGATGAAGAGCTTTAAATGTAATCAAATACTCTGCACCCTATGTCATTAAGCAGTGAGAAATATTTATCTAGATAACACCTACCGCGACACAAGACCTCTGTTTTTGAGGTCTCCCCCGATAAGCCCATCACTTTTCCTTCCTTTGTCGGGAGCTTGCTGAAGGAACTGCTATCATATAACACAAGTACGGACCTCCCAACAACAAAACGAATGCCCTTACTTTCGACTAAATCTTTTATGATCTGGAAATGTTCTATCCATTTTTGTGTCACATATTTTAAAAGAAAATCCAATGAGCAATATGTTTCGGTTAAAACGGATTTAAAATCTTGCTTAAGATTCTACAGCGGTAAGAATAACATGTGAAAATTTCCTAAGATATTGTTTAATATGCATGGTTAAACATAAAGAAAAAACAAAATCTTTGAAAGGTCGTTCTAATGAGAATTATTCAAAACATTTTAGATTTTGACCAGAATAGGAGAGAAAAATCTTAAACAGATATCGATATAGATTTAGATTTATATCGACGATTAAGATTTATATATATCAACGACGTATTGTCAATTCACAATGGTAATTTCCATTCCTACGTCGATACGATATATCCTGGAGAGCTTGAGATAAAAGATTCCATGAAGTCTAACACTTCTGTTTCATACTTGGATATTTTACTTGAAAAAGACGCTAATGGTAATCTAACAACCAAGCTATATGAAAAACGTGATGACTTTAACTTTTCTATCGTCAACTTCCCTTACTTATAGAGCAATATACCTTCATCACCTGCATATGGAGTATATATATCTCAGTTGATTCGATACGCAAGAGCATGCTCTACGTATGAACAATTTATAAAAAGAGGTAAATTATTGACAAGCAAGTTGATGAAACAAGAATATCAGCAGTCTCGTTTAAAGTCATCATTTCGTAAGTTCTATGGTCGATACAATGACCTTGTGAACAATTACAATTTATCATAGAGTCAAATGCTGAATGACGTTTTTCATATCAATTGATAGTCTATTATTTGTACAGTGAATTGACGACGGATTTTTCCCTTATTTCCTGATAATGACAAGGAGCACACGGCGGGTGTGTCCAGTCGGCATGGGATGCTCACTCCTCCATGGCACCTGATCCCACCTCTGATGTTTCGGAGATCTGTGTTTGCTGGGCTCCTATTTTGTATTGTTTTATAGACTTTGAGATTGAATACTGTTCGTTATTTCCATATCCATCGATTAGAGAATTACTTTTAATTTAGGTCTTCGCAATACCCTTTGTACTCGAGAAATGGATTATATACAATCTTCTAAATATACCGAGGATTTCTAATTGTTCACAACATTCCACCAGTAGCTATAGGTAAGTCGGAGCATAATTGAATATTCTTTTGTTCATATGAAAGTCTTGAACACTCTTGTTCTCCAGAAAAAAATGCACCAGAAAATTGGAACGTAAAATCATCTAAACAATGCTTATAATTTTAGAGTGCTCAACCCTCAAAGAAGGTGATATATTAAATAGGGGATAGAAAGTTAAAAATTGAAGTGTTTATGGATAAATATAGTCTTCAAAATCTTGTCAAGAAACACAGGGTAAGAAAAGATGAAAGGTTAACTTCCTGACTCTAACAAAAAAGATCAAATATATAACACAAGACTAAATAGGAATCTAAAAATAAATTTTCTTAAGATAAAAGTTTTACATCGGACTTAATCAGAAGCCATTTCATAAGTCTTCTCGAATGATATTTGTTTGTTTGTTTTTGTTTTGTTTTTTAATCAAATCAGTGACTTTAAATTCATGTTTGAATTGAAATGAAATTTAAGAAAATGATTGTATATTAGTGAACTTATTAACTTCAACGTCTAGCTCTGCTGGGAATACATTACAAAACATTTAGTTGATTTTGATATACAAACAACAGTTACAGGTAGTACATGTATATGTAATGGAAGGTACATGTAGTTGAATTTAAGTTTGTTTAGCTAATGTTTATATAGGAAGATTTAATGTAAAATAGCATGAGATCATCAAAATGCAATTAATACTATAAATTATAGTATTCAAAACCACTGAAAATCAGACAAAAATATTTATCAATTTAAGTATGGAGAAAGTCAGATGAAGATGACTGTAACTCTGGCATCTGTCAATGTTTCTCATGGCAAGCAAAGTACATATTAAGTTGCAGAAACTTACCTCACAGACGTAAAATTATATAACGTTGGTCATAGCTAAGTAGAGCCCAAAGAACGTCAAGTCGCTAATATTGGTAGCTCCTAAACATACTTGAACAATATAGCAAATCGCGTCATTTAAGAGTTTTGAATACATGAATATTTGGTGAGGTAGACATGGATTGACACAGAGACACCGGGGGAAATAATACATCCGTGTTGTTGTCCTCAGCAGACGAAAGGGTAAAGGAAAAAGGTTGTTTATGCTAAGTTTCAGGAAAATTATAATATGATTGTTTATGCTTATTTTTCTCCTTCTTTTGCAGGCTCAAAGAATAACAAAATGGCTGTAGCTTTCCATGCAAAGATGAAAAATTCGCAAAACAATTTGAAAAGCAACCAGAAGGTTTTATTTGAACATGTATTCCTTAACATTGGCAGTGGCTACGATGCAAAAACTGGTGTATTTACAGCGCCAGTGGACGGAATTTACCGCTTTGACTGGACAACATTGGCAGCGCAGAAGAAATATTTTATTACTTTTCTTGTCAAGGAAAACGCCCAAATTAGCTCTAATTACTGCGCAGACATATATGACAATGAATATGGCCAATGTACTTCCTCAGCTATCGTAGAGATGAAGGCAAATCAAAAAGTCTGGATAAAACCGTATGGCGGTTATGCACAAGGTGTAACTGGTAGCTACAGTTATTTTTCCGGGTATATTATATAAATGAAGTAAAGAAAATCAGTTATAATATATATCTTTTGTCAGTATTTATATTTTCAAATTATATTTTAATTATTAAAAAAATACTAGTATTAGACGTTTTGTGCACAGAATGGGAAAAAAACATTATTAATCAATCGCTTAATGGTGATGCACACCTAATGATATCTTATAGAAGCTAATTACATTAAGCCACCATTTAATCCACCATAAAGCTGCAGCTTATAGGTGCATAATGCCCAAAATCCATCAAGAAACCATAAGTGCACCTATAAGCTGCTGTTAAATGGTTACGTAATGTCCAAACTTAATTACACTGCCTTTTAGCATTCGCGTATCACGTTTTTAAACTTTTTTTCAGTGCGTATAAATTTAGGCACTGAGAAGAGTGACAGCAAACTTAAAATGGAAAAAATTCACTACCGAAAATCAGATTGTTAAAATACTTGTTTCTAAAATTATTTTTATCGATGAACACATAATATACATGTATATTATTTTTGCGTAAAAATCAGGTATTTTTTAAATTAGATAAACAATGTACAGTGCATCGCTTTGTCAGATAAAAGACCCTAAAATTAGGTGTTCCCACCTGTCTCCGGCCAACTAAGTGAAAATCTGTACATAACGTACATTTTTATGATCCATTATTTTTACAAAAACATATAACAACTTTAAAATTATGATTTAAAGCAGGAAGCTGTTATTGATATCCATTATTATATAAAACCAGTAAAAAGTGCAGATGATATAATAAACAATATCTTGCGAGCCTGACTTTTACGGAGGGGTTGTCATTAATTTAAACAAAAAAGTCCCAGATGTTCAAAGCATATTAAAAATTATCATTTGCTTTTTTTCATTTTTCCGATGATATATTTTTGTATTATATCTATTAAATTGCTTACAAACTTTAGAATAACAGAGAGAGAGAAATACTTTAAATAAATCAACAAGAGTCCTGGGGGCCACATCGCTCACCTTATCAACTGGCCCGTTAAAAGCAAACTTAAGTTTTCTATTAGAAAGTTTAAATACAAAAGCGGGTTTTGAGGAGAAGTGTGAATTAGAACAAAATTTAATTAAAAATCTCTAAGGATCTTTCTTTTGATCCATATTAGCCTAGCTGTGTAGCGACCGCTAATGATATAACGCCTATTAATGATACAAATATCATTAAGCGCAACAATGCAAGCCTTAATAACATAAATCATTAGATTTATAGTTGATATGCTCATCTTCTTAATAATATGAATCTTTCATTAACCAGCAATTTAGCATTAGCGATTGAAAAGGTCAACCATGACTGCAATGATTTATGGCATTAAGTGTTACAGTTGCAAAAATTAATGATATATTCATCATTAAGCTGCGTAATATCATTAGCGGTTGCTACATAGCTGTTCATAAGATGAATTTTTAAATTGATATAGCATTTATATTCCTTGGTTAAAATATGAACCACTTTAATGGCTCCGATTTTCTTCTGATTGGTCATGAGTTGAACAAATCGAAATTTATACAACTTTTTCTGATGCTTTTATATTGATGATCAATCGTTGATTCTTGTTTATGTAATATAAAAATTTTAAAGACTCTTCCTATGCATTCCTGTGTAAAATCGTGATCAAGTCACAACTCCACCACGGGGTAATGATTTGAACAAACTTGAATCTGCAATACCCGAGAATCCTTTTTTATAAATATAACCAAATATGACCAATCACAGTTTTTCCACTCTTGAGAAAACGATTTTAAAAGTTTTACAATGTTATCATACTTAATACTCGGTGCAACCAAAATCCTCCCACACTTGTCCGAGTGGTCATGATTTGAACAAAAATGAACACTGTCAGGGATGCTTCTACATTCATGTAACTATCACTAACCCTGGCTTTGCTGTTCTTGAGGATAAACTTTGTGAAGGCTTTCCTTACGTATTCATATGTTTAAATTCGATCCCACTCTGTGTCCCCGCCATAACTCAGAGATCCTGACTTGAATACACGTGAACCTTCACTAAATGAGGATGGTTCAATTTAACTATGACAAATCAAGGCATTGCTGTTCTTGCGAAGATTTATAAAAAAAGATTTTTCCTCACTCTACTCCCAGGGGTCAAAATTTAAATAAATTGATTTAACACTACCAGAGGATATACTTCCTTGTGAGTTTCTTCTTTCCTTGCTCAGTGGTTCCTGAGAAAAAAAGTTAAAAAGATTTTTCTTTTGTTTATGTTAAACTTTGATACAACACCACAATTTGGCTCCACATTACATGTACCCCCGGCCGGTTGTTAAAATTATAAATGTTATTTGAAAGTTTTTTTTTAAAGATCCATTCATATGATTATATATATCGTACATCTAATTGATTAAAATATAGATTCAAATAATAAAAAAATAAATGGAAACGTACATTTACAATTTTTTTGAAAAAAAAAAAATCCAAATGAATACATGCTTTGTGAAAAATATAGGTGAAAGGTGAAAAAGTTTGCCCCTGGTAACCAAATGGTCCTGGTTTCAAATCTTGTCGGGAACATTTTAAAAAAAAGCTCTAAATATTTCTTTCTTTCCCTTTCTTTTGCAAATTACCAAATTTTTTTTTATTTGTGACAATAGATTGTTATAAAATAAGTACATGTTACTTTGAACATATTCTTTTATATCAAATTTCCTCCCTTTTAAAACTTATTGTAGCCCCATCCATAATGAGGTCACACCAAAAGTCATACTTTGAACAAATGAGATTCCACACTACCCCACGATGCTTCCACATACGTTTCGGCTTTTCTAGCCCAGTGTTTCTTGAGAAGATAAAAATACTTAAAGTTTACGAGGACAACAACGACAGACAGGAGACATTTTGTTCAGAATAACTCAGTTGAGCCTTCGGTTCATGCGATCTAAATTTGCAAAATAAAACCTTTGATAAAAAACATTTTACTGTAAGAAATAACGTTATTTCATAATGTAATGTACCCTAAATTGTATAAAAAATTCCGGAATCTTAATGTTATAACTTTCAGAGGAAAAAAAATATTTATAGCACGTAAGTAAAGATAAAATAAATGAATTTAAATCGGCATCGTTGGCAAGATCGGTCGAAGGACATTAGGACTTCTTATGCAGGTACAACCGGCTACAACCTTCTCTAGTTTGTTTTCATATGTATATCTTCTACGAACCATGTCGCATCCTGTACGTCTCAACACGTGAACATAATTATAGATAGGCTGGCAGCGAGTACATCCGGGCCCGTTGTTCACATCACAGCAAGTGTTTTCACTTCTTCTACAACAAGAGTGGCTATATATACACTGGGCCGCAATGATGTTTTTTGGTTTTCTGTTAGGATAAATATTCTTAACAAAATGCCATTGACATGTGGCTTGTACAGAACATGACTGTGATCCAGAATTTCTATGGTTGGAAATATTTTGGCGGGTAATATCGAAAAAAGTATCTTGGAAGTTGTTTAATCCTCTCAAAATCATCCCTTCTTTTCCAGGTAATATGGCCACCGATTGAGTTAGTAAATCATCGCTCAACGTGGGCAGTGTGGATGGTTCTCTGCATTGTGTTGCATGACTTCGTATATAAGATACGATGATGAACAGTGTTACAATCTGAAAGAATTGAAAGAAGACTAGTAGTGAAAGGTTTAAAAAAAATGATAAAAAGTTTCTTTTATTCATATTACCTAATTATATCGTTATAACGTATCGGTTTAAAGAGTAATGTGTAAGGACTTTCATGCTTTATCAAATGTTAAAAAGAATCTCTTTTTAAACATCGCTGTCATTTTGAAGAAAACCTTTGGTTAGTTATTGATAAGTGAAAAAAGAATCGCTAATCGACGATTGAACAGTTTTCAAATTGTCCAAATATGTTCGAAAAATAAAGTATTTCAATATAAAAAAAGTGAAAACATGTAAATTTTGATAAATATTGATATTCATATAATTAGCATTGCTAAAATACTAAAATGCTTAACTGTAGAGAGAACAAATAATCACATCATTTGAAGCTTAAACGAAAGTACTGCAATTTTATTTGCAGGAATATTGTTCTAAATTGTTCAGAATCAGAATAATTGCATGATATTCCCCCAAGTAAGAAAACATGGTTTAGCCATTATAAAGCTTAGAAAAGCGTGTTCCTATATGAAAACAATGCTTATGTTCTACCTGAAAAGTGTACATTGTTGCCTCTGTAAGTGTTGGTGATCTGGGATTTACCAAAGATTTCAATAACGTACGACTGATATCAAAAACTTTTTTGTTTAAAAAAAGTGTTTTAGCTACCAGCTAGCTGTCTGAGATTAGGCCATTTCTGACAAATGGGCTGTTATTGTCGCAAAAGATAACTTACATTGTAAGAAATATGAGTTCGAAAACGTTTTTAGCTTCTGTGACAGATTGCTAAAGAGCATGTCACTTGATCGCCTATATCACGTGATCGCTTATATCACCTGGTTGCAGATGCGCATTAAAATAAGAGAGGCCTACTTCGAAACATTTTTAACACTGAAACCCCATATCATTTCTTTTTCGGAAGTTATTCAATCAGTTCGTGAACTTTTTGATCAACCCTCGTATATTTCAATTCGATTCTCTATTTAAAGAAAGTTTTGAAAATAAAATCTTTTTTTTAAAACCCATTGATTAATTTTAGTGAGTCAATACCATGTGTTTATTTTTTTAGATAATAGACTTATAGTGTTCATGTTACAATGTAAAACATGTGGAAAAATATGCTGAGTGCCGTTGAAAACTCCTTAATGCTTTTATGATGCCGAAGAAATATAAACATTTTGAGTCCAGTTTTTAGAGTGTATCGATACCAACTATACCTCGTGAAAATATAATATGAATGTACACGTTTATAATCTACATATGAGTAGATACGATTTTTTGTCTTTTTCAATAAATTGTGCTTTTTAAAGAAATTTTTGTTTACTTGTAAAATACATTTTCATCAATACCTTAACACAATGAC